CAGGGAAGCTGGCTCCAATCCAGAGAAGCTGGCTCCAATCTAGCTGCTGTTAGAAATTGGATACTACCACCCTCCCAAAGTTGGGAGGTACCTAAAGGAAAACTGGGCAGATACTACCTGTTTGTCAGGAATAAGCCATGGACCACTGCATTCTGGAATGATAGTCAACAGTTTTGAGATTGGAAAAGCTCTTAAGATCAGAGGAAAAATTTTCTGTGGAGAGCTACATTAAAGATCTGGGTTTTGGGTTTTGTGCACATTATCTACTACTAAAACAAATATTTATTCACTTAAGTATGGGCAAATGGAGATTGTTGGGGCACCATAAGAAGAAAATAAAATCTATGGGAATTTAAGGAAAAAATAAAATTGCTTATATAAAAATTAGAACTAGCAAAAGATAGATTTGCAATGTATTTAAAAGGTTGGCTAATGATTATTACATAGAGATTATATGAGAGAAATAAAGTCTTCACAAAGACAAAAAAAAAAAGAAAGAAAGAAATTGGATCTTTCTCTGTTTTTTTCCAGTCCCCAGCCCATGGTTTTTCTCTTGTCAAAATACAATCCCACACTTCCCAGCCTCTCTTTCTCTTCCTTTTATTTCTCCACAGGAGGGGATTCCTCCCCTCTGTTCTTATGCCTCCCGTTTTATCTCTCCTGGTTCGTAATCATGCACCTGTGGCCCACCAAGTTGTCCCTGTGGGCCCCTGGAGATGTATCTGTTACTCTGCAGCCTGGACTCTTAGAATTCCAAGTCCTCTGGTCTCAACACTGCTGTGTTTGAGGGAAGAGGGAACTTCGGGTCCCCCTACTTCTCTGCCGTATTGACTGGCAGCTCTGATTGATTTTTATTTAAATTCTAATAAGTTTACATACAATACAATATTGGTTTCAGGATTTTATTGTGTTTTTAATTTGGGTTTGTGTATGTTCACTGTATGTTCACAGAAATTCAATGGGTTTTCATCTGTCGGTCTTGCCTCCTGCCACCTTGCTGAACTCACTCATTAGTTCTGGAGGGGTGGGTTGCCATGTTTGGCTTCTCAAGCCTGTGCCATCCTTGAGTTAAGTGCCACACCTCCTCTCTCTTGGTGCCACCTCTGCCCATGTGTGGTCACCGAATGTTCTGCTATGGGGACTGCCTGAGACTACTGGGTTGTCTGGGCTCCCAGCTTTGGGTGTTTATTTCTGTGATGAGTGTGTGGTGACCTTGCTTTGGGTCTTCTCCATTAGGTGGCCAATTCCTGGAGTTATGTAAGATGAAAACTTCCGACTGTACTTGCTTGCAGACCAGCTTCTTGTGAAATGACCCACCTGGGGCTTTCCTGGGGCCCCCTTCCTCTTTTGGGCTTATTCCTAGGACACACTTATAAATGGATTATAGGTATCCATTTGTTTTCTTTCCCTCAACTTTTTAGTATGAAAAACTGTAACGGCACAGAAAATTTGGCATAATATATACTGATCACCCACATACCACAACCTTAATTTGACAAGGTTTTTTTTTTTTTAATGCTTATTTATTATTTTGAGAGAGAGAGAGAGAGAGAGAGAATGAGAACAAGGGAGGGGCAGAGAGAGAGGGAGACACAGAATCCAAAGCAGGCTCCAGGCTCTGAGTTGTTAACACAGAGCCCGATGTGGGGCTGGAACTCAGGGACCGAGAGATCATGACCCGAGCCGAAGTCGGATGCTTAACCTACTAAGCCATACAGGTGCCCCCTTAATTTGGCAGTTTTTAACTTTGTGCTTTATTATTTATTTATACCTTTCTTTGTATCTCTCTTCACTATGTGTATGTGTGTGTGTTTTCAAACCTTTTGAAAGTAAGTGACAGATACAGTGATACTCTGCTCCTAAATATTTCTAATGCCTAAATACAGGCATCTTGTAAAAATGAATGCATCTTCTGCCTAACCACAGTACTGCTGTAACACCTGAGACACTTAATTGTAATTACTTAATGCTGTCCAATATTCAGACCATATTTACATCTTTCTATAATTATTCCAAAATGTCTTAGATGGTAAATTTTTTGGAACTAGGATCCAGCTGAGGATGATGCGTTGAACTGTCAATGCTGTTCTGGTGGCAGAAAACAGCTACTTTATTGTGCTCACAGAACCTGCGGGTCAGGGGTTCCAGACAGGGTACAGGGCAGATGGCCTGCCTCTTCTCCATGTCACTGGTATGGGAAGATTGGACAGCTGGGGTGACCCAAAGGCCAGGGCTGGAACCATCTGGGGGCTCCTCTCCATGGGCCTGGGAGGGAGTGTCACAAAGAGGCATTCAGGTAGCGAGTGGTCCAGCAGGACCACAAGGCAGGCACAAGGCTTCTCATCTCAGAAATCTCTCCATATCACCTCCACCCAGACCCCCCCAAGGCACAGGGAGGGACATAGGCTCATCTGGGAGGGTCAGGTCACACTACAGAAGGGGATGTGGGATGAGAGATGTCATTGAGGCTGTCTTTGGAAAATATGGTCTGCTTGCTGCAATGTGTCTTTAGTCTTTTTAACCTGGAATAGCTGATTCACCCCCAAGGCTGTCTGTTTGAAGAGATCTGGCAGTTGTCTTGTAGGCCATCCCCCATTCTGGATCTGTCCAGCTGTTTCCTGATAGTGTCATTCAGTCCGCTTCTCTGTCCCTTGTGTATCTTATAAACTGGAAACTAGGCCTAAAGGCATAATCACATCCAGAGTAAGCATATTTAGCACAGACATCCACTTATTTTAGAATTTGATCAGGATATGACTGCTTTTGTCTTCTGCAATAAAACTAAGGTGAATACAAGTTGGAATTAAGGTGATGGCTCAGTCAGTTAAGCATCTAACTCTTGATTTTGGCTCAGGTCATGATCTCATGGTTCATGAATTTGAGCCCCATGTCAGGCTCCATGCTGACAGCACATAGCCTGCCTGGCATTCTCTCTCCCTCTTTCTCTGCCCCTCCCCTGCTCATGCTCTGTTCCCCCGCCCCCCAGAATAAATAAACTAACTTTGGGGAAAAGAAAGAATTAAGGAGGTGATGGACACAGACACCAGGAGACAGTGGGCGCCCCACTGTCTCAGTGGGATGCCCTGAGGGGGACATAGTGGCACCTGAGTGGAGTTCTGGTCACAGGCATCTCCTGAGCTTAGTCACAGAGAGCATCAGGCAGTCCCCAAATGAGGAACTGTTGAAGGGGAAAGGTGGGGAGGTACTATATCTGTCAGAATTTTCAGTGTTAATATATGACAGGCTATGGAAACATCTCACATTCAGGGAGGCTAAAACAGCCTGACAGATAAAGGCGTTGCCTAAGCTGGACCAGAAGGGGTGCTCCAAGGGTCATAACTGGGCCAGTTGACAAGACTAGGATGCAGGTGGTATGATTCTTGTCCTGAAGCCAGAGCTGCATGGCAGCCATGCGAGAACACGCTCACCTCCTTAGGAAACATGTAACACAGGGTCATGGCTCAGAAAACCGTCTCGTGTGTGTGTGTGTGTGTGTGTGTGTGTGTGTGTGTGTACACACATGTGTGCACATACGTGCAGAGAGTACCAGCCAGCCACAAAGCACATGGGGAAATGTTGCCAGCTGGTAAGTCTGGGTGAAGGGCACATGGATGTTCTCTGTAATAGCTTTGCATCTGTTATATGAGTTTGAAATTATTTCCAAAGACTAAATATTAAAAGTAACCAAAAAAATTAGCTGAAGGAAGATTCTGTTTCTGGCTGCTAAAAAAATCAAGGCTGAAGTAATGTAACAGTGTATGCACTGGAATTAGAGTTTAAAAAGTCATAAAACATACCATTATGAAAAAAAATCAACGCTATCCTCAGAGAATAAGATGAATGCCAATATTGGAAAATAACTTTAATTTTCACAATAAAATGTAATAAACACAAGAGATTTCCATACCAGACACAACAACCATGAACTTACAATGTGTTGAAAATACCTCTTTACCCTCAGTTTTGAGGTTTTAAGCACAGGATGAGGTAATAGTCTGTTTACAGAGAACAGAAGGAGCAATCATCACGAGAAAAATGTGTAAACTCACTAAGCTTAAATAATCCAAATCAGAACAACTTCAAGCAGGGTTCCATCATCTGCTTCTCAAATCTTCAAAAACATAGAAATGAAATGGTTGTTAGCACAGCCCTGGGGAGAGTGGTGTGTGTGAGTTGCCAGTAGTGCTGAAAACAGGTTCAGAGAACCCCACTCTGCCAACACTTGGAGCCACTGACAGTCAGCCTCGAGAATGGACTGCTGTGGAAAAAAAGCAAATAAGCAGAAATGTGATTTATATGAAGATATTCACAACATATAGTTTAAAGTAACTGGCATTTCCATGGGGAGAGACTGTAGGGGCAGTGTTCTAGTTGCTGTTCCAGCTCATGGGGCATTCACTTAGCCACCCAGTGGGCATCTGTTGTGCATCCACCATCTGTTGGGCAGTAGATACTGGATAAAAGCAGAATATACAATTTAATCACCACCTGCACCCTGCTGAAAGATATGTTTAGGTGTTTAATGACAAAAGATCAGATCATGACCTGAGCCTACTTTGAGGAGATTCATATACTTCAAATTTAACAAGGTGTTTTCTTTCAGACTACTTAAAATAATAATTGGACATAACCATGAAAGAAATAAGAAAAATATGGAAGATCTTCAGAGCAGTGGTTTGGATGTTCATGATGTAGCCACCTCTGGCAGTTGAGATATGTCTCATTTCCTCAAGGGAGTAGAGCACGTTTTCGCATCCTTAGTACTGTGGCCATTTGGGGTGGGATCAGTCCTGCGCTGGAGGATGCTGAGTGCCTCCACCATGAGATGCCTTAGCCGTCCCCTTCCCAGTTCTGATAACCAGCAGTATCTCCAGACATTGCCAGATGTTCCTTGGGGAACAAAATGGGTCCTGATTGGGAACCACTGGAATGATATGAATTAAGCTCCTGGTTTAAAAAAAGTAACTTTGGCATCTGTATTTTAACCCGTTATGCTCCAGAGTCAGAAATGCAAGGATGAAGTGTCCCAGCTCAATCACAAGATCCTTCAGCTAGGAGAGGAGGCTTCTGTCCACCAGGCCCAAGATGAGAAGAACCTCATCAACATTCAGCTGTTAACACAGAGACTGGAGGAGGCCGGGCACCAGGAGGAGCTGCAGGTGAGTGGTCTAAAAACATCAGCAACAGCCTTAAAATGCCTGGAGGTAGGCTCACCCCTCAGGTAAAGAGGGGAACTTAACAAGTATGTGCTCTGGAAAATTTGTAGGCTTCAGCAGCCTTGCAAATTCTCAATATCTAAAAAAAAGTAGCAGAAAAGGATTAAATCCTGATGCTAAGAGAATAAATTGGTAGACCTCTTTGGAGGACATTTGGGCAAAATATGTGTCAAGTGCCTCAAGAATGTCAGTATGCTCTGACTTTATAATTCTACTTATGGGAATTTTATCTGAGCATCGTGGGCAGACTTAGCTGGAAGTGTTTTCATTGCTGTGGTATTTATAATAGCAAAACAGAATTGGAATCAGCTTGAATCATCAATAATACTGAATGAGTCAGTAAATTATGGTACAGTCATTAAAAATCATGTTTTCCGGGGCGCCTGGGTGGCGCAGTCGGTTAAGCGTCCGACTTCAGCCAGGTCACGATCTCGCGGTCCGTGAGTTCGAGCCCCGCGTCAGGCTCTGGGCTGATGGCTCGGAGCCTGGAGCCTGTTTCCGATTCTGTGTCTCCCTCTCTCTCTGCCCCTCCCCCGTTCATGCTCTGTCTCTCTCTGTCCCAAAAATAAATAAACGTGGAAAAAAAAATCATGTTTTCCAATAATATTTAATGTTATGGGGAAATGCTCAAGATATAATGAGGAAAGCACAGCATATAATGCTGTACCAGTGTTATTGATAGAAACACATGTGTGGAAGAAGGGCTGAGATCACAGCACAATGTTGGGATCATGGTGGTTTAAATTTTGTCATTTTTGCTTTTCTATAAATTTCTGAAGTTTCTGCATTAAACATGTATCAGACTGATGGCGTGCCTGGGTGGCTCAGTTAGTTAAGTGTCTGACTCTGGATTTTGGCTCAGGTCATGATCTCATAGTTCATGAGATGGAGCCCCCGTTGGGTTCCCATGCTGATAGCATGGGACCTGCTTGGGATATTCTCTCTCTCAATCTCTCTCTCTCTCTTCACCTCCCTCCCTCCCCTGTCTCCCTCCCCCACTTCCTGCTTGCTCACACACTCCCTCTCTCAAAATAAATAAACTTAAAAGAAATAAATAAATATGCATCAGACTGCTGAGATATTCTTGTACTTGTGAAATTATTTTTTTTAAACAGAGTGAGCTAATCCAAAAACTTGAACTTGAACTTGAACACATGAATCAGGAATGTCAGAGCCTGAGACTGTCACAGTCACAGCTGAGAGAGACCCTTGAAGAAAGTCAAAATCAGGTGGGTGTGCATGATGGCCAATGGCTGGGTCTCAGCTGGGAGGAAAGTCAACACAGTTTAGCACTGACAGAGCCTTGTCAGGACTGGTCTGGCCAGAGAGGTTATTGGGCTGCCCTGAGGTTACACAGCTGGTGGGCACTTACCAGGCCTGAGACTGAAGTTGAGCCTAGTCCAGGGTTGGTTGACCCTGAGCAGTCCATGGGCAGAGCTTCTGTTTATGCACAAGGGAAGGAGGCTGACAAGCAGTGCTTTTGGCTGCACCATCTGCAGAACAGAAGAACAAAGGAGAGCTGTGGGTAGCCTCTGAGGAGGGGGGAGTGTCGTCAGATCCAAGGACATGAGGTGGAGTAGTCCCTTGGGTTAGCAAGCTCAGTGTGCCCGTCTTGCCCTCACACAGGCTTATGTGTGCACAGAAGCCCTGAAATTGCATACACATGTGGGTGTCGAGCTCCTGCCTCCCACTTTGTCTCCTGCTCCAGCATTTACTAGTGCACCAGGCTCTAAAGGTACAGAGGTAGGAAAGTGGAGAGCTTGCAGTTTGGGACAAGCAGATGAGAGCAGGACAGGCCAAGCAGGGATGTCAGGATGCCCTGACAGCATGGTGTGCAGAGACATGAGAGAGGGGGAGCTGGTTCTTCCTGGGGGAGCAGGATGAGAGAATGGCAGGTGTTTGATGGCCTAATGTGGACTCAGATGTGTGTTGCGCTTAGAGGGCTGGGGGCTGTAGATAGAAAAGAGGGGTCATGGGAGAAGCCTCCCAAGCAGTGTGGAAGAGGTTTCTAACTCACTGGCCTGTGGCCCAGGGCCCTCACTTGAGTGTGGCACTGGCATGCCTCCCTCCTCTGAGCAACTTCACAGACTCCCTGACTGGCCCCAGATGCCACAGCTGGACTTGGCTGTGGGGTCCCCCTACATACCCAGGGCTTTATGACGTGCTATTGGGGGCTCATGTGGGCTTTCAGCCATCCCGCTGCAAACAAGCGCTCTCCCAGAGGTGCCTCTGAGTATTTGGGGGTTCCCTTCTCTGTTTTTAAGTCTGAAAGGAACCTTGAGAAATTGCCTTGACCAGCTTGAGCCCTTTGAGTCCAGGAGTCAGCATTCAGCCATTGTCATGGGCAGAAGGGACCTTACTTAAGCAGTTCTCCTGTGATGTGAGATGGTTCCCCCTTGTTATTTAGAAGAGGAACCCCCAAAACCACATTGATGGGAGTTCACATGAGGGAAATAAGAGGAGCCTGTGGGTACTTAAAGATCTTCTAGAGGAGCCATGGTAGAGTGGGCGCGGGACCACTCGGGAGGAGCCAGTGTTGTCACTGGCACAGTTGTGGGTGATTTTAAGGAGGAGCGCCCTGGAGGTCAAAGAGAGCAGGTTGGACAGGTATGAGCAGGGGGGCAGCTTGGGTGGGGCCATGAGAGGTCCTGGCAGAGGGACTTTGCACAGCTCAGAAGGTGTGGTGCACGGGAGCACAATGCTGTAAGCATCACATGCCCTTGGGAATGACCATCTTGGTTCTATGTTGCAGTACGTCAAACCACCCTTAAACTTGGTAGCTTCTAGCACTGTTCATCCTTATCCTTCATGGTCTGTGGGCTCGCCAGCGCAGCTGGGCTGTTTTCACTTGAGATCTCAGGGGGCCATTGCAATCAAATGAAGTTAGGGCTAGCATCATCTGAAGGCACAGCTGGATCAGATGTTTGAGAGACCTCAGGTCACAGGGCTGGCATGTGGTGTTGGCTGGTGGCTGGGGGCCCACTGGTGCTCTCAGATGGAGCACCCACACCTGGCCTCTTGGTGGCATGAGGCTGTCTGAGCATAGCAGTGAAGTTCTGAGAGGATAGGTGACCAAGCACCCTTAGAGGAGCAGATAGAAGCTGCCAGGCTTCTTAAGACTGTGTCAGGGCATTCCAGAACATCACTCCCCTGACATTTTGTTGGTCCAGCTTGGATTCAAAGGGAGGGCACAGAACCCACCTGTCCATCAGGGGAGGACACAGTCCTCACCTCTCAATGCAAGGAGAGCACAGCTCCCATCCCTCAGGGGGCAGGAACAGCAGCCTGTGAGCTCAGGTGGGAGTAGCCGATGGCTGAGGTGGCTCACTGCCATGCCCCTGATCCCAGAACACAATGGCCCTCTTTTCCTGGCATGGGCTGCCCCAGTGGTCTCTGGGGACATCTTTCCCTTGTCAAGTGATAGTTGGGCAAGGGTCTCCAGAGTTGGCCCAGGCTCTAGCCAGTCTCAGTTCTGCAGGGAGGGAGATGAGGAGGGCTTGGGAGGAATTCAGCTGAGACGGTGTTATGGGCTGTTTGCCTTGCTCAGAGAGCCACAGGGTAGGGCCACAGACACAGAACTCACACTGGGCCACACAGTGGCCTCCTCCCAGGAGCTTGCACCAGGCATCTGTGTTCAGAGCAGAGAGATAGCTGTAGCAGTTAGCAGCAAGGGGCATGGGAACAGTGTGTTCTAAGGAAGAGGGCATCAGGGTGTTGGGGAGTGCTGTCAGAGAGCAGGAACAGCTTTGGAGTGGGTGGGCATTCTGACATGGAGTCACAAAGGCCTGGGCTGGGACTCAACTTCCATCTGGGGTGTCTGCAGGATGACTGAAGCATGAAAGTCGGGAGGGGGCTACATTTGTGGGGGGTGTGTTTTAGAACTGGTTCTCCTCTCTCCCTTCTCTGTCCCTCTTTCTCAAGGTTCCCAGACCCAGTTCCAGCATGCAATTATCAGACACCAACAGGGTGTCTGAGAATTCAACTCCATTCTTATACTATCTGCCTGGAGACAGCATCGGACCCCACAGGTTAAGGGTTAAGGGTGTAGTCCTACAACACTACTCCCTACCCCCATCTCAGAAGCCAGTCATACCCCCCAGGCTATTAGCTGTGTTTCTGACCAGCCAGCTACAGATTGGATGTTTCAACCTCCTCCTCCTGAGGTTTGACTAATTTGTTAGAGTGGCTCACAGAACTCAGGGAAACACTTAACATTTAGCAGTTCATTAAAGGATATGTTAAAGGAAACAAATCAATAGCCAGAGGAAGAGATACATAGGGTGAGGTCCCAAATATCTGTCCTCAGGGAGCTTGAGCCCCAGCCTGGGGGTGCATGGAAGTGTTCCTCCTCAAGCATAGAAGCTCTCCAAAACAGGGACCAAACAGCTGGCTCTTGGGTTTTTATGGAGGTTTCATTATATAGTCATGACTAAGTCATTGGCCACTGGCTGACTCAACCTTCAGCCCCTCTCCCCTCCTGGGAGGTTGGGGGATAGGACTGAAAATTCCAATCCTTGATCACGTGGTTGACCCTCCTGGCAGTCAGCCCCTCCCCTTGGGTGCACTTCAAAAATCACCTTCATTAATAATGAGACATCTATTTCACGTCTGTGGCTCTGAAGCATTTTTAGAATCTGTGGATGAAGACCAGATATCTCTGAAAAATATATTTTGGTCATCTGATTTTAGAAGTCATTATATTTCACTCCTCCAAAAGAGCATAGTAGCTGTCCTGGAAACTGTGTGCAGGTGTGTTTCTCTGGGATGACTCCTGTCCTAAGAACAGCCACACATGATGGTGATGACATGGCCCCCTAAGACAGCCCCTCAGAGATGCACAGGGATACAACGACCTGAGGTCTAAAGCCTCATTGTTGCCCTTGAGTAGCCATAGCTGGCATCCTCCCTGTCTCTAATCACATGGTCACCTCAGACCTATCCTAAGTGTGACTCTTGATGGAGGTACCTCCCTCTCCCATCTATGGGGCCTCAGAGGTGTGTGAGGGCTGACATACCAAGTTCTTGTAGGGTGCCAAGGAAATTCTGTATATTCTTGGTGAAGCCTCTAGAATCAAAGTGATTTAAATGGTGTTTAATAAAAGGATTGGCCAGGTTACCCACAACTCCAGTGAAATCTTGCCATCCACTGTGGTTGGGGAGCCAGGGGCTGGGGTAGTTCTGCACCTGCTGCCAGGGTCCCTTTGGCCTTCATCATATGCTCCATTGCTCTCTGTGGCCCTGGTATCAGCTGCCTAAGGAGAATGAGCTCTCTGCCTAAAGGAAAATCACCATGCAAGGCCTGCATGGATTATAATTGTTAAACAGACTCCATGAAGTTTGCTGAAATGTAAACTGGACAGAGTATGGCATGATTCTCCCATGGGTGCAGCAGGAAACCTCAGTGTCACCACTTTGAGGCTACAGACCTGAGTCTTCTTGACTCTCTGTGTGTAGAAACTCTGGCTAAACCAGAGTTTGGCTGTCAGAATACAAATGAATAGGTTCTTTATGAACCTTACATGTAGCTGCAGATGCATGGACCAAGGAATAAGGATGCCTTGTGTGCCCTTCCATTTGTAGGGTATCTGTAAGCATGGAGTTTTGCATGTCTAGTAATGACCCCATAGCTCTCAGCAATCACACCAGCACTATCATGGCCTTCTCCCCGGTGCAGCTGCATGGAGCCAACCTGAGGCTAAGGCTGGCACAGTCCCAGCACTCGGAGGAGGTCCACCAGCTGCAGGAGCAGATGCAGTGGCTGGTGCCTCAGGACCACATGACCGAGCTGCAGCAGCTACTGGAAGAGGAGCGGCAGGCCACTCAGCAGCTCCGTGATGAGTGCATTCTCCAGAAGGAGAAGGGGAGGCGGCTAGAAACACAGTGGGTGAGTGGAGACAAGGGCCCTGAGGCCCAGCTGATGGTGCCAGGGGTGGCGAGATTGGATCACTGATCACTCAGCCAAAAACTGCCATCCCAATTCGTAGAAGTCTGGTTATACCACAGCTGCAGGCCCCTGATTTTCACTGTGAACAATGTGGGATTCTAACAGGGGCCAAAGATGGATCAGGGAGGGGTGGCAAACCTCTTGGAGAAGGCATCTCCCACCCCCTCAGAGTGATAAGCCAGCTGACCCAAAAGGCCTCTTCAACATGGGGGCAACAGGTCCACCCAGACAGGTTGTCTTTGGGGGCTGCACATGTCTGTGGTAGGCCACATGGCTAAATGTTAGGGACCACACACTCAAAACTGCTTACAGGGCCAGAAATGTGGTGATACAGAGGCCATGAGGGAAGCTGTGGGTGGCAGTCCCACCCATGTAGTCCTGTGGAATCACAGGCCCTGTGTGCCAATTCTCCTGATTTCAAAGGAAAGCCAGAAACTAGATTTTTACAGAAACATTCCCAGTTTCCAAATGATGCATCTAATTTAAAAAGAATCTGAAACCATTTTGCAGACTGAAAAAAATCTACCCACAGGCACACAAAGACTGCAGAAGTTATTTATTTGGGTGCACACTGATCTAGGTAGGGGAGATACAGAAACAGACACACATGGCAAAAGCCTGTGCCCTCCTGGAGCCTATATTCTGGTGTGGTGGGGAGACAAATGAAAACATGAGTCATGAGGATAGCATGTCAGATGGTGATGAGTTGATGAGTGCTCTGGAGCAGGATGGTGGCCAGAGAAGGCCTCACCAACGTGTTACTTGAGCCAAGATGTGCTGGAGTTGAGAGAACAAACCATTCACTTAATCTGGAGAGAGTGCTACAAGTAGCAGGAGCAGTATATGCAAAGGCCCTGAGGTGGTAATGGCCTTATTTAAGGATAGCAAGGATGAGAGGGAAGCAAGAGGAAGATGGTGGGACAAAAGGCCAGTGAGGTGGTGGCACACACTTGGGGACCCTGGCTGTGCATCAGGCACTGCATTAGGCATCTAGAGACATAGAAACAGAGTTGTTGCCTTAAAGAGCAGGATACTGTGGCTCAGGGCATGGACTGCAGAGATTGGGATCCAGGCTTCAGCATCTCCTAGCTGAGTGACTTTGGCCAGTTACTTAACTTCTCTGCTTCAGCTTCCTCATCTGTAAAAGTTGGGTGCCAGTGGTTCCTACTAAAAGCATCAGTGTGAGGCATCAGAATTGGCACTTTTAAAATGCTTGAATAGTTTGGCATGTGTGTACTCTACTTAAGTGTTTAATTTAAAAGGCTGGGCGGGGGGGGGGCACCTGGGTGGCTCCGTCAGTTAAGCGTCTGACTTCAGCTCAGGTCATGATCTCATGGTTTGTGAGTTTGAGCCCTGCATCAGGCTCTGTGCTGACAGCTCAGCCTGGAGCCTGCTTCAAATCCTGTTTCTCCCTCACCCTCTGTCCTTCACCCATTCACATTCTGTCTCTCTCTCTCTGAAAAATAAATAAACATTAAAAAATAATTAAAAAAATAAAAGGCTGAGAAACACCTACATCCTCAAATGCCACAGTGTAGTTCATTGGGAAATGTCGGGGTGGGAGGGTGTGGAGATAGGAGCCTGAGGACAAGAGGGTGCTTCCATGAGGAAGAAATTGGAGCAAGACTCAAAAGGTCGGTAAGATTTGATGTTTGTGAAGCATAAATCCTAATGAAGAATAACCTATCCGCATTGTGCAAAAATGTTAAGCAGGAAATAAGTTCACCCGTGATAGAATATTGACAAAACAAAGAAATTTAATCAGAAATCCTTTAAAAATACTCAGTAACACATTTGGGGAAACTCACTTTGGAGTAATTTATGATTAAATGCCCAGGAAAACAGTCTGCTAATTCTTGAACTACAAAGAGCAGTGTCAGCTTTGTGACCTGTGGCAGAACATTGTGTGTCTGTTACTCTGTGCAGATGAAAGGCTCTCCCTTTGCTCTCAGATATGTACATTTTAGCTAATTTCCACTCTGAAGTAAATAAGCCTGAGATGATTCTTTTAGAAATGTAAATTATTGGTCTGTAACCTTTTGTGACAGGAAGAACATGAAAAGGAGCTGAAACACACTGAGGAGCGGGTGGAAGAGGTGGGAAGGGCTCTGAAGAACGTGGACATGCTCCTCCAAGAGAAAGTAGCTGAGCTGAAAGAGCAGGTCAGTGATGGATGTCTGTCATTGCCACATGCACTTTCTGAACTTTCTCCTTCCATGGGTGTTCAAGTAGCTAATTCAGGGAGAGACTGTCCTCACAAAACACAGAGAGCCCCCATGTTCATTTGGAACCACTGAACCTAGGGCTCCATCTAAACTTTGAGAAACTGAATGTACAAATTTTTTTCAGAAGATTAACAGCTAAAATCAATCAATAGAAAAATTGATTTTTTAAAATATATTCCCTACACTGTATTTGTATATTGTGTTTGTTTTGGGAATTGTTTTAAGGTACATTTGAGAGGTGTTCACATAATCTCAGAAAGGATGTTCATTTATTCATTTATTCAGTCACTGGGCAGATACTTACTGAGCACCTGTCATGTATCATGGCATTCATTGTTCTAGGAAGACTCTAAGATGGGCCCTCCTGGGCCTTACGTTCTGGCAGTGGAGACGATAACAAGATATATGACCTCAGGTGATGAGAAATGCTCACTCTCAAGAAGAGATGGATGGCACGTGGTGGGGATGGTTGGGGACCACTCTGAAGAGATGGCATGGGAGCAGACACCAATGACAGCCATGGAAGTCTGGTTCTGACCCCCCCCTTCCCCCCCCCAGTGGAGGCCAGGTTGGTTTTTTGGAAGAGAGATGCTCATGTGGCGGGACTGTCCTATGCAGTGTTGGGCTGAATGCCTGTAGCACCTCCAGTCAATGGGAGTGTCATAAAAGGGCACCCATGTGTTTCCCTGTGTGCTAGGGGACATGCTAGACCCCAAGCAGGAGGGGCATCCAAGCAGAGGAACAGTTCAGGTATATGTCCTTAGATGGGACCAAGTGGAGTACATCAGCAGACTCCCAGGGAGGTGGCTGTAGCTGCTATGAGCTGATGGGTGGGTGCGGGTGGGCAGGACCCCCTCAACATTAGGAGTTTGGATTTTATTTTACTTTTTTTTAAATGTTTATTCTTAGAGAGAGAGAGAGAGATACATAGAATGAGTGGGGAAGGGGCAGAGAGAGAGGGAGACACAGAATCCTTAGTAGGCTCCAGGCTTTGAGCTATCAGCACAGAGCCTGACACAGGGCTGAAACACACGAACCATGAGATCATGACCTGAGCTGAAGTTGGATGCTTAACTGACGAAGCCACCCAGGTGCCCTGGGATTTTATTTTATTTCTGATGGCAGTTAGAAGCCATCTGAAGATTTTAAGCAAGAGCATGATATGATCTATATTTTTAAATAAATCACTCTGGGGGAAAAGAAAATATTTGGGCTTCAATAGGCTGCAAAGACCAAAAAAAAGAAGGCCATAGCTGTTCTGCTTGATGAAAGCCCACAGTTGAATTCAGCCAGCAAGGTCAATCAGTAAGAACTGGTGGCTGGGCAGCCAGCATGGAGGGTGCTGGGAGGGGGAGGCAAGGCTAGAACGAAGCAGGAGACAGAGAAAAGGCTCAGCCAAACCCCAGCTACTCCAGAATAGTTCTGTTCAGAGCTAGAAGGAATTAAGTATGAGAGTCTGCAGAAATATTTTCATTATAGTAGTCAAGTCTGTTTAGAGGGCTCCTGAACTGAGCCCAAACAGGATGAAATGTCCAGGCCACCTCTTGTTCCCTGGGAGGTGGGAGGTCCCATTGGGAGTCGCACCTCCCTCCCTGACCATGCTCCTGGCTTTGCAGCTCCCTCTCTGCCATCCACTGACTCTCCAAGTGTTACAGACACTTGGCAACCCCCCTTGCCCTACGGTCGTTCTCTTACACAAAGCCACAGTTTGCTTCCTCTTGCCTGGCAGATCCTCAGTCTTGGTTAAATCCTGTGGCTCCTGCACACCTGCCCCTGTGCGGTGAGGTCCTGTCCACAGCCCTACACCCACCCCACCCCACCCCACCCCACCTCACCTCAGAACTAGCTTATGCTCTAGCCAAGTGAACCAGCCACCTGTGACCGTGCATGTGCCACAACGCCCAGACCCTCCCTTCTCCCAGGCCCTCACTGCCACCTGAATCCAAAGGTAAAGGAGCCCTGACCCTGCGTCTGCCCCTTTTTACCAAAGTACCTGCAGAGGGTTATCTGGACACCCTCACCTGCCTTCCCGTGTGTTCACTCATGTCACTGGCTGAAGTCCAAAATGTTGGTGTTGTGGGGCGCCTGGGTGGCGCAGTCGGTTAAGCGTCCGACTTCAGCCAGGTCACGATCTCGCGGTCCGTGAGTTCCAGCCCCGCGTCAGGCTCTGGGCTGATGGCTCAGAACCTGGAGCCTGTTTCCGATTCTGTGTCTCCCTCTCTCTCTGCCCCTCCCCCGTTCATGCTCTGTCTCTCTCCGTCCCAAAAATAAATAAACGTTGAAAAAAAAATTAAAAAAAAAAAATGTTGGTGTTGTGGTGGATGCCCCCACAGTGTCTGCAAGTGAACCCGCCAGCTCAGCCTCAGAAGGGATGCAGAACCCAGCCTCTTCTCACTCCCACTCTCATCCTCTGTGCCCTACAGTGTCCTTGTTTCCTCCTGGGCTATGTTCTCAGTGCAGGAGTGGCAGCAGTGCTTTCCCAACATGGTTGAGGTGCTGGCCCTTCTACTCGGAGCCCTCCAGGCCTCTCACAGCCCTAAGAGTACCAGGCAGAGTTCCTACAGAGGCCTCCAAGGCTCTGCAGGATCTAGTTGCCCCCAGCCCTCAGTGGCACCCAGCCAGCGTGTCAGCTGTAACTTCCTTTCAGTGGGCTTCTCACGGCCATGCCCCCCCAGCCCCAGGTCTCTGGCCATTCCAGCCATCCCCAGCCTGGCCAGGCTCTGGACCTTTGCACCTGCTTCTCCCTTTGCCTGGAATGTTCACATCCAGACAGGCTCAGTGCTCCTTGCCCTGTTTTGTTCAGATCTCTGTTCAAATGTCAACGGACAGAGAAGCTTTCCCTATTCACCCCAACCAAAATAGGAACTCCCTCAGCTATCTGTCGCCTCCTGGTGAAACCAGTAACCTGAGTGTTAATAGGACTAGTAAGTGCAGCTGTAACTTTTCACCAAGATCTTTTTTGTTTGCCTGTAAACATCCCTGACTCTTCTCCTTGGGGGAGGCAGGTTAGAGTCCAGCCCTCCCATCTCCATCTCCTCCTTTGGCTATCTCTCCCTGACACATAACTCCATGCTGAGTGATTGTGTTTGCTGTACATCAGGCAGGCAGACTTGAGTTCGGTTATGTGGGGTTTTCTCTTAGCACTTGTCATGCCTCCACACCATGTATTTGTTTCTGGCATGTCCACTTCCATCAGAATATGTGCTCCTGAGAGCAAGATCATTGCGCAGTATGTCTGGCAGTACTTGTTGAATGAATGAATGTAGTATTGACTTTTGAAGCCCAAGGCTAGGACCCCGGTTGGCATTGTATCTTGAACAAGGACTCATAACTAGAGTGGCCTTGTGTCCCCATCGCCATGGCTATCGTGTGTGGTAACCAGCCCATGCACTTGGGAGTTCCCAGGGTGGATGTAGTGTCAGAGTGTGTCCCGTGAGACATGGTGGCCCTGCAGAGCACACTGGTAAGAACGAGAATGACATGTTTTATGTTATGTTGAGTAGTCCTTTTTAAAGACTGGTGATTTTAGGACAGCTGGATGGCTCAGTCAGTTAAGCATCCAACGTCAGCTCAGGTCATGATCTTGCAGTTCACGAGTTCAAGCCCTGCATCAGGCTCTGTGCTGATAGTTCAGAGCCTAGAGCCTGCTTCGGATCCTGCTTGCACTCTGTCTCTCTCAAAAATGAATAAATGGTTAAAAAAAATTTAAGGCTGGTGATTTTGATCTTTTTTATATCTTCATTTCATGGTAAAATCAACTCTCATAAAGTTGACTTAAATTTCATCTTTCATGCCAGGTTTAATAAAAATTGTCATTATACCCAATGTTTGTGTATGAGATATGTAAAAACCCTGGAACTGTGTTCCAAACACACTTGAAAGAGTGGGAGGGGCAAGCTGTCATGCAACATTTCTGCACTAGAATAATAGTAAAGTATGGTTTTTCTCTCCTCCCTAGTTTGAAAAGAACACAAAATCTCATTTGCTGCTCAAGGATCTCTATGTGGAAAATGCTCACCTGACAAAGGCACTTCAGGTCACCGAAGAGAAACTACGAGATGCTGAGAAGAAAAACTGCATCCTGGAAGAAAAAGTTAGAGCTCTCAACAGACTCATCAGTAAGATCGCTTCAGCTTCCCTCTCTGTGTGAAGGTTGCTTGTTTTCCTGGAATTCATTTTGAAAGAATATCTTTTAAAATTAAGCCACCATGATGTCATAATATCCTAACGTTCATTGGTTGTGCACCCTTGGACACAGATTTCTGATTTCTTGTTCACCTTACACGCGTTTAAAAATGTCTACTGTGCCAGCTGCTCAGGAAATAGACATGCTGGAAAAGACTACATTTTTATTAGTAGTCCTGGGTAATTTCTCCGGTAAAATTCTCAGTTTTGCTACTCATTGGTGAAACAATTATGGGTAGCTTTCAGTGAAGTAAGACTAAAAGAAAAATGGTAAAATCAATCAATTTCAATGTTGTACTTTTGACCTTGGCTATAGAGAGTAAAATGAAAAATAAGGGCTCTGGACAGTTTCATCTTTTCACTGTTATTGCTTTGGGTTTAGATCATTAGCATTCTCAAGCTGTGTCTGTACAAACATTCTAGAAAGACTCCTTGCTGAGACTGTCAACCCTGCGATCAAAGACAATGGAGGGGAAGCCCCCTCTTCAGGGACTGCTCTACCACAGGAAGATGTTTGGAGAGCGCTTATTTTAGGTCTGTGGTCTTAGGGATGATGGTATTGCGAATGCAATCTTTCCCTCATTGAAATGTCATCACACTGGAAATTGTATTATATGTAAAGAAAAAGAAAAGTCTAGTTTTATATCCAAAATATACATAAGTTATGGTTATTTGGTTTATGAGAATAAACTACTGTACAATGAAGAATCACTGTATTTACAAAAACTCTTTTCTATTAAAATTGTTTTAACTTCTAAGTTTAAGTTTTTATTAAATATTTTAAATAGAAAAATAGTTTTATAAGAAACACTCCTGTGCCCATCAACTAGATGTATTAAAATCCTTCTGCTACATGTAGATAGAGGTGCAGCCCCTGTTCTGTTGCTGTCAACCTCCTTCTCCTTCCTGGAGTCAGCCACTACCCTCAAGCTGCTGTGCCCTGTCTCCTTCTGTCTGTCTTAAAGCACTATGGAAATACACAAAAGACTGGCATAGGGGTGCCTGCCTGGCTGGCTCAGTTGGCAGAGCATACGACTCTTGATCTGGGGATTGTGAGTTCAAGCTCCACATTGTGCATGGAGCCTACTTAAAAAGACCAGAACAGATGGAAAGATCAGTTCTTGGATAGGGAGACTCAACAACATAAAGTTGGTTCTTCTAAATTAACTGATTAATGTAATATAGCTCCAATAAAAACACAAGTGGGTGTTCCTTTCTCCAATCAACCCCTTGTCCAGAGTTGGACAGTTCTAAAGTTTACATGTACAGCTAGATAAGCAAATAAAATAATATGGAAAATTTTAAAAAGAAGAGCAATGAATGGGAACTAGTTCTACTAGTTGTTAAAATAGTTTCAATATAGTTTGAGTTACATGGTTGTATACATTTGTCAAAACTCATCAAAGGGCACAGTTCTTCATTCACTGTGGACTTCTGGCTGGGACTGGAGTAACAAGGAGATTGGATCTAGTAGACATGAACAACACTATCAAACAATTGACATTTATAGTCTCCAACAACAGCAGAAGTGCACCTAGGATATTTACAAGGATAGACCATGTTGTGGACCTTGAAACAAGTCACAAAAAAATTAAAACAATTTAAGTCATACAAAGTACTTTCTCTGACCACAATGGAATTAAATTAGGAATGAAGACTGGAATGATATCTAGGAAATGCTCGAATATTTAGAAACAATAATACACTGTTAAATAATTCATGAACTATTCAGTTCATGGAAATCAGGAGAAATTAGAAAATATTTTGAACTGAAAGGAAATGAAAACACAACTTAGCAAATTTGAGGTGTGGAGCTAAAGCATTACTTAGTGGAAAATTCATAGTCTTAAATTCCTGTATTAAAAATGTCTCAAATCAATGACCTCCACTTCCACCTTAAATTACTAGAAAAAGAAGAACAAAGAAGCCCAAAGTGAGCAGAAGAAAGGAAATAATGAAGATCACAGAAGTCAAGGAATAGAAGAACAATGGTGGCAAACTACACACTGTAGGTTAGCTTCATGGCCTGTTTTTGTAGTTTGAATGGCATAGTCATACCTATTCACTTATATACTGTCTATGCCTACTTTTGTGCTCAGTATCAGACACTGTGTGGCTGACCTGAGTGGAAATCAAGAGTTGGATGCTTAACTGACTGAGCCACCCAGGTGCCCCTATACACATATGTTTTGTACCATGTGAATATATTAAGTGTTTCTTGTAAAATCACAAAATAGAATAATAGATTCAACCCATCCTAAATAATATAAATTGTTTAAAGCAATACATCATCTGAAATCTTCATCTCCCTCTACATCTGGAAAAATTAATACATATCATTATAGATACCATTTTTTAAAAACTTGTATGACTAAGACAAAAAAGGGAAAGCAGATATATAATATTAGGAATGACCATATGTACATAAAAGTAAAACATTTCAATATACTTCAAAATACAGATTAAAATTGATTTGGAAAAATACAATTAACTAAAATTTACTCAAGAAAAAGTCAACACTTTGACCAAAAATTAAAGAAAATTTAAAAATTTATCAAAGGTCAACATTTCTCCCCCAAAGATTCATACGCAAATTGTTCTGTAAGTATTAAAGCTATTTTTAAGGTTACAATTCTGTTTTTAAAAGACAAAGTAGGGGCGCCTGGGTGGCGCAGTCGGTTAAGCGTCCGACTTCAGCCAGGTCACGATCTCGCGGTCCGTGAGTTCGAGCCCCGCATCAGGCTCTGGGCTGATGGTTCGGAGCCTGGAGCCTGTTTCCGATTCTGTGTCTCCCTCTCTCTCTGCCCCTCCCCCGTTCATGCTCGGTCTCTCTCTGTCCCAAAAATAAATAAAAACGTTGAAAAAAAAAAAAGACAAAGGAATGAGCATCAACTCATTTGAGACACCAGAACACTAACACCAAATCTGGCTGTGGTGGCCACCCTGTACTCCTGTCTTTGTGGGGTTCACAGTGCCTTCACTCATCTGGGCTGACTGGTGGGCTGTGATGGAAGTGTGACTCGTTCAGTACCAAGCATAGCCTCTCAGAAAAATAGCAGCACCCACTTCCAATGTCTTAACTATGTGTGCAGAACCCAAGTAAGATCTGTAGAATGCTCCAGCTGAGCCCCATCAACCCACAGAATCATGAGAGCTAATAAAATGTTGTGGCATAAAGACACCATATGTTGAGTGGCTTGTTTCATAGGGACAGATAATTAACACCACTGACAACGCACATATAGACACATGCACACGTACACATTCCCCTCGTCCAAAGCACTGTAAACCAACATTACTCACAGTTGGGAAATTCCCCAACAAATGAAGAGCAAATCAAATCTCTCAGCTGATAACCTGAGTAGTGAACACACCATGGCCAAGAAGAATGTAGCCCAGGGAATGCAAAGTAGTTCAACAAAAAAAATTCTACATTTCATTTTTTTAAGTAATCTATGTGCCCAATGTGGGGCTTGAACTCATGCCTCCAAGGTCAATAATCACATACTCTACCAACTGAGCCACCTAGTGCCAGAACAAAATTCTATTTATGTAATTCATAACACAAGAAACCATATGATCATTACTCAAGTTCCAAAACCATACTTAGAAAAATCATATATTAATTACCATTGTTTTATTTTTTAAATTTATTTTTACTTTTTAATTTACATCCAAGTTAGTTAGCATATAGTGCAATAATTTCAGGAGAAGAATCCAGTGATTCATCCCCTAAGTATAGCATCCAGTGCTCATCCCACAAGTGTCTTCCTCAATGCCCATTGTGCATTTAGCCATCCCCCCACCCACAACCCCTCCAGCAATCCTCTGTTCTCTGTATTTAAGAATCTCTTATGTTTTGTCCCCCTCCCTGTTTTTATATTATTTTTGCTTCCCTTATGTTCATCTGTTTTGTATCTTAAATTCCACATATGAGTAAGGTCATTTGATATTTGTCTTTCTCTGACTAATTTCACTTAGCATAATACCCTCTAGTTCCATCCACATTGTTGCAAAGGGCAGGATTTCATTCTTTTTCATTGCCGAGTAATACTCCATTGTGTGTGTGTGTGTGTGTGTGTGTGTGTGTGTGTGTGTGTGTATACACTCCATATATATACATACATATATATATACTCCATATATATATACATATATATATACTACATATATATATATGTGTATATATATATATATATATATATATATATATATACATACATACACACACACACACCACATCTTTATCCATTTATTCATCGATGGGCATTTGGGTTCTTTCTATACTTTAACTATTGTCAATAGCACCGCAATAAACATTGGGGTGCATGTGTCCCTTAAACAGCACACCTGTATCATTTGGATATTTACCTAGTAGTGCAATTATGGGTTGTAGGCTGGTTCTGTTTTTAATTTTTTGAGGAACCTCCATGCTGTTTTCCAGAGTAGCTGCACCAATTTGCATTCCCAACAGGAGTTTAAAGAGATCTTCTCTCTCCATATCCTCACCAACATCTGTTGTTGCCTGAGTTGTTAATTTTAACCATTCTGACTGGTTTGAGGTGGTATCTCATTGTGGTTTTGATTTGAATTTCCCTGATGATGATGTTGAGCATTTTTTCATGTGTCTGTTGACCATCTGGATGTCTTCTTTGGAGAAGTGTCTATTCATGTCTTCTGCCCATTTCTTGACTGGATTATTTGTTTTTGGGGTGTTGAGTTTGGTAAGTCTTTATAGATTCTGGATACTAACCCTTTATCTGATATGTTGCAAATATCTTCTCCCATTCCATCAGTTGTCTTTTAGTTTTGCTGATTGTTTCCTTTGCTGTGCGGAAGCTTTTATTTTGATGAAGTCCCAAAAATTCATTTTTGCTTTTGTTCCCTTGCCTCTGGAGACTTGTTGAGTAAGAAGTTGCTGCGGCCAAGCTCAAAGAGGTTTTTTGTCTGCTTTCTCCTCGAGGATTTTGATGGCTTCCTGTTTACATTTAGGTCTTTCATCCATTTTGAGGTTATTTTTGTGTATGATGTAAGAAAGTGGTCCAGGTTCATTCTTCTACATTTCGCTGTCCAGTTTTTGCAAGACTATTTTCTGTCTGAAGAGACGGTCTTTATTGCATTGGATATTCTTTCCTCCTTTGTCAAAGATTAGTTTGCCATATGTTTGTGGGTCAATTTCTGGGTTCTCTATTCTGTTCCATTGATCTGAGTGTCTGTTTTTGTGCCAATACCATACTGTCTTAATGATTACAGCTTTGTAATACATCTTGAAGTCTGGGATAGTGATGCTTCCAGCTTTGGTTTTCTTTTTCAGGATTGCTTTGGCTATTTGGGGTCTTTTCTAATTCCATACAAAGTTTAGGATTGTTTGTTCTAGCTCTATGAGAAATGCTGGTGTTATTTTGATAGGGATTGAATTAAATAGGTAGATTGCTTTGGGTAGTATCAACATTTTAACAATATTTGTTCTTCCAATCAAGGAACATGGACTATTTTCCCCTTTTTTGGTGTGTGTCTTCTTCAATTCCGTAAGCTTTCTATAGTTTTCAGTGTATAGTTTTTCACCTCTTTGGTTAGATTTATTCCTAGGTATTTTATGGTTTTTGGTGCAGTTGTAAATGGGATCAATTCCTTGAATTCTCTTTCTGTTGCTTCATTATTATGTATAGTAATGCAACCGGTTTCTGTGCATTGATTTTATATCCTGCAACTTTGCTGAATTCATGGATCAGTTCTAGCAGTTTTTTGGTAGAATCTT